TCAAAATTTACTCTTCACAAAAAAAAAAAAACAAACAAACAAATTAGTTTCAAAATCTAACTGATTTCTTCCCTCCTCTCTAAAAACATGATATCTCACAGAAATCAAAACCTAATATTTTATGTTTAAACAATTTGTTTTTTCTTGACTTGTGATGCGATTTCGCTAAAGGTTGCGAGTTATAATTAATTATTCTTGTTTCTTTTTTCTCAAGACCATAGAACAACCTCAAATTGATTTCATAGCCCATTTTCTTCTATTAAAAGTATATTTAGTATTGTAATTATTTTTGTGGTTATAATTTAAAAAAAAATATTTTATAAAAAATATTTTTGATTAATGTTGGTTTGGTATGTATATATATTTTGTTAAAATTGTGATGAATAAAAAATAATTTAATGTGTTTGGTTAAATATACTTTTCAAATTGAGTTTATAAAATAACTAAAAAAAAATATATATTAATATTGATTATTTTAAATTTAACTATTATTATTACATCGTTAAATAAATAATATTTTATATCAAATATTTTTTATTGTTCTATCAACTTTTATATTAAATATTTTTTATTGTTCTATCAACTTATCTACAATTTCATTATATATAAAATTCATCAAATAATGATTATAATTTTCATGGTTTTTTTAGTGTGTAACAAAATCAGGTAAGATATCATCAGAAACAAGATAGGAATTGTGATCAAATTCTGCAAATGTTACGTTATCTTGCGATCTTCTTTTAATATATATAGTGAATTGTGATCAAATTCTGCAAATGTTACATTATCTTGCGATCTTCTTTCAATATATGTAATGTTATTGAATAATATAAAATACTAGTTTTTGAATAAAATACAATTAAAAAAGTTGAATTTTTTCAGGTTGGATGTGGTTCAATAAACATTAGAGTCACTATTCATGTAAACAGTAACCCGTGAATTAATTCACCTAGCACTATTCACTTCTTGAAGTGAACACTATGCCAAGGGAATTAACTCACCCTACACATTTGACAACAAGCATGCAATGAAAAGTGAAAAGTAACATGGGTTCTGGCCCAGCAGTAGGAGGGGCTTGTCCCCTTTCTCCGCACCTGATTCGAACCTTATCATGCACGCCTGTCACCCCTGCGGTGCCTTACCTGCTCACTGGGCTTGCAGGATGTTCAGTGGGTCGTGAAGATTAGTCGTGGTGCGCGTAAGCTGGCCCGGACACCCGACGTAAATAAAAAAAAAAAGTGAAAAGTAACATTTTTTTACTTCACCAAAACCGACTATACAAACTCAATTTTTAGTGGGATCTATCTCTAAAATCTGCATCCAAAATATTTACCAAACGGACTATAAATTGTGGTTGAAATGAAACACATTAAAACCACAACACCAAACGGACATTAAAAACTCTAAGAATTGCTATCGAGCTTTTTATTTGTGCTCTTATAGTCCTATGATTTTATATTTTTCTATGTGTTTTTTGAATCTCATGTTTCATTTTTCTAAAAGAAAACAATTGATATAGTTTAATTTTTAGTCTATGAAATTGGATAAAAAAATAATCTAACTTAAGTTGGCATAACAAATTTGTAATCTTGATAGTCAAGATTAAGATAACCTTGGTTATCTTGTCAACTCATATCTTAGATTATGAGACCGAGATAACCTGATAAGAAAAAAAAATTATTTTTTTTTTTTTTTGAAAAAAATGTCGGATGATAAAAGCATAAAAAAATAATCTAACTTAAGTTGGCATGACAAATATGTAATCTTGATAATCAAGATTGAGATAACCTTGGTTATCCTGTCAACTCGTATCTTAGATTATGAGATCGAGATAACCTGATAAGAAAAAAAAATTATTTTTTTTCTTTTTTTCTGAAAAAAATGTCGGCTGATAAAAGCACCAAACAAAATAGGCACAAAAAGAAAATACAAAAATTAGTTTCAACCCTAGTTAATTTTTAAACTCGTAACCCAATCATTAAACCGCAATAACCTTATTTGAAAAAATGATGAAAATCAGCTTCCAATTAATTAAATATTAAATAATAAAATTGAAAAAAATAATTCTATAAAATAATTGAAAATAAAAAATAATAATTAAAATAATGAGAATCAAAATTAAAATACAAAATAAGTTTTATTTTTTATTGAAGGGTGAAATTAAAAAAAAATCAATTTAACAAAATATCAAAACAAAAACAATAAAAAATAAGAATCAAAATTGAAATAAAAAATAGAAACAAACTTTTGATTAAAGGATGCAACTGAAAAGAAAAATCTATTCAACAAAAGGAATCAAAAAACAAAACAATCAAAAGAATAGGTGTTAAATCTGAGAAAAAAAAACTAATACATTCCAAATTTATATTGAATAATGAAATTAAAAAGAAATTAATTTTTTATAAAAGGTCCATGAATAAAAATTACAAATCAAAAGAACAGGGATCTAAGTAGCAATACCTATAAACCAAATAACAACTTTGAAAAATTGCATGGCTAGCATGAAATTTGATTAAAAAAATGTCACTAGTTATAAAATTGTGTTACTAATGATAAATTATATCACCAACAATTACATGCACTATCCTAAAAACACCATGTCGCTTCCAATTACATGATAGAAAGAGAATTTTAGTTGTTACAAAGGCCTTAAAAAATTATTTTTGATCAACTCGAGCTAGTATTACAAACTTACAACTCCAAGTAATTCAAGCTGATTAAACAAAATTATCCCACCAAGCTCATAGTCTAGGTAATAAGATCAAAATAATCCAATAGAGAAAAAAATAACAAAAATAACAAAGCTCATTTTTGTTTTAAAAAAATATTAAACAATGAAAGCAATAAAGAAAATAAGTAGAACAAAACAAAGGAAACAATGTTATCCCAGGTTAACTTTTCCAACTCATGACCTAAGATGTCAAACCAAAAGCATTATGCAAGGAAAAATTATAAAGTTAAATTTTTAATCAATCAGATCTAAAAATAAAATAAAAAAATAATTTCAATTATATAAGAGGATTGAAAATAATAAAAATTCAATTAAAAAAATGTTGATCGAAATTAAAATACAAAATAACTAGGATCAAAATTGAAATACAAAATAACTAGGATCAAAATTAAAATACAAAATAATTTTTATTTTGTATTAAATGGTCAAATTAAAAGGAGAAAATGAATTTAATAAAATGATAAAAAAATAAAAAATAATCAAAATAATGAGTATCAAAATTAAAATTTAAAATAAAATAAAATTCTTGATTGAAGAGTGAATTTGAAAAGAAAAATCAATTAAAAAAATTAAAAAAATAATGATCAAATTGAAAAAAAATAACATATCTCAAATTAGAATTGAAAGGTAAAACTAAAAACAAGTTAAAATTTTAAAAAGTACCAAGAAAAAAATAATAATAACAAGGACCTAAGTGGCAATACCCCTTAATCACATGATAACTCTAAAATTTTACATGTTTATTGTGAATTTTAAAAGGAAAACAAGGAAAAAGAATCATTATTTGTGATAAATCATGTCACCACCTACAACACTCATTTTTTATTTTAAAAAAAGGATATAATGTCACTTCCAACAACATAAAAGATGTGGGATTTTAGCCTTTACAATGGCATATACATCTAGTATATATGCTGACATATGTATTATATGTATTAACCACTTTTATTTTTTGTTATTTGTTTATATATATATAATCAAATATCAAATTTTTCCTTGGTTTATTTCATAATAATTACCACCAATTTAAATTTTTTTATTTTAAAGGATATTTTAATTGTTTTACTTTGTTTTTTTAAAATTATTATTTATGATGAAATTGATAATGATTAATAGATTTTATAAAAAACATCTTTTAATAACTATTTTTAAGTTTTTTATTATAAAAAACAAAAACTATGAAAACACTATTTTAGTTAATTATTATAGTGTTTTCATGTTTTAGCTTTCTTTAATATAGATTTTATATTTATATCCAACTCAACCCTTAGGAGCTCATGCTCATGCATTTCATCTACAAAGCATTAACCATAATTATTAGTATTATTTTAATTAAAAAATATTTTACTTTAGCATGTAATCTTGATTTTATTAAAAGCTTTCAATAGCTAACTATTTATTTTTATAAATTATGTTTATTTAGAGATGTGATTGCTATTGTTTTTTAAAATATTTTTTATGTTAAAATATATCAAAATTATTTTTTTATTTTTTAAAAATTATTTTTGAGATTAATATATCAAAACAATCCAAAATATATACAAAAATTAATATTTTTAGAACACGATTTACATCAAAATTTCAAATGATGCTTTAATCCTTGTTTTCTCTCTTGTCTTTTGCCTTCGTACTCCCATGCATTTATTGACGTAATTAAAATATAGTAATTAAACTTTCTTTTATTAAACTCAAACATTAGTTTTATTGAAGTCATCTTGATTTTGCAAAACAATAAAATACAACACATCATAATAAAATAATAAACTTGTAAAACTCCAATCAACTTGAAAGGTAAATTCAGCACCCAAGTAATTCAAAACCCAAACCGATCTATGTTAAAGGAAAAAATTGACATACCTTAACCCTATTAGATAGACAAATTGATTCACAATGATAAAACCTAATAAAAAAATTATTAATGTTTTTAAATTTTTTGACTGTCCGAGTAATATTAATGTTATTTTTTCAAAGAAATTATCAATTAATTCAGTTTATCCATCCCAGTCCTTGATTTTTAAAAATTAGTTGTTTTTTAAAATATAATTTTTAGAAATATATTGAATTATTATATATATTTTTATAAATTTTATTTTTAATACCAATGTATTAAAATATCAAAAGATATAAAAAAAATTAATTTAAAAAAAATCAGATTAATTTGCTGACAAAAACACTAAAACTATGATCACAACTCAATAAGTTATAAGAACTTAATTATACTAAACATTCCAACACATGTTTTTTCTTAAATAAAAAAGGTGAAATTTTAATTTTAAAAAATCGTTGGACTCTCGACTCTAACAGACTTTGGGCATCAAAAAACAAACGAAAATCGGAGAGGAAGCTTTGCTGCTCTGCAATAATATAGTAAACCTTCAATTGATTATCCCTATAGAAGGTTCTTCGAATCTTTTTTTTTTCAGATTAAATCTTCAATCAGATTGATAAATGGGAAATATATTTGTGAAGAAACCGAAGATAACTGATGTTGATCGAGCCATCCTCTCGCTCAAGACTCAAAGACGGAAGCTTGCCCAATATCAACAACAGGTTGGTCCCTCTCATTTTTCTATTTCAATTCATTTTATGACTTCTTAGGCCTTGAAATTTAATGGGTTTTTGAGTTTGATTGTTTTCTGCTTGGTTATATTCAAAATTTTGATTACCCGGAAATTAAAAAAAAAAAAACCTTTTTTTCGTGCCTGAGATGTGATATTCTTTATCAAATTATGTAACAACAAAAGGATAAGGGAAAGTTCGGATTTCATTTTGGTTTTTTCAAAACCCATTTTTTGTTGTTGGTTTGCTTCTCTTAACTAAAAAAAAGTCAAGCTTTTTTGCCATGAGCTACAAAGAAAGTGTATTTTTAGGGTTATGGAAACGGGTTAGTTTTAAAATCTTGAAATGGCTAAGTTTTTTATGGTGTCTTTTGGAAGATTGCAATGGTGTCCTGTGATGGAAATGTGAGTTGTGGCTTCTGCTGAATTCGAAGAAACGATCGCTTATTTGTGGTTATCACTTTGTTTTTGAATTGAAAATTTTCCAGCTTGAAGCTGTGATTGAAGCGGAAAAGCAAGCTGCTAAAGATTTGATACGTGAAAAGAGAAAGGACAGGGCGTTGTTAGCGTTGAAGAAGAAGAAAACACAAGAAGAATTGTTGAAGCAAGTGGACACGTGGCTCATTAATGTTGAACAACAAGTGCGTAAAAATAGCGAGAATGTAGTTTGGTTTCAAATGTTATATGATGTTCCACAATATGTGTTCTGGTTCAGTTGGCAGATATTGAGCTGGCCAGCAAGCAGAAAGCTGTATTTGAGAGTTTAAAGTCAGGTACTGATGCAATCAAAGCAATACAAAGTGAGGTCAACCTGGATGATGTTCAGAAGCTAATGGATGATACTGCTGAAGCTAAAGCTTATCAAGATGTAAGTTTCATACTGAAATTTACTTATCTCGAAAATGTCTTGGACATCTTGTTTAGACATTGTATTTTGTTGGATTATCTATCCCCAAGGAATATAAATATATAAAATTCTTTTGTATGTGTATGATATGTGTATGCATGGGTGTCTGCACATGAATGCACCCACCTAAAAACATGTAGGAGTTGCTGACAGTAGTTCAGAGCCACTTGGAATGGAATTCAATATTGAGTTGTATGTCTAAAAACATATCTTTAGGATCAGCTCTTTGAATCTCATATAACCTTTCTGGCATATGGAAATTAGAGATGCACTTTTATGTGTGCAGAACTTTGTATGTGTTTGCTGCATTTATAATGATCAGAACTCGATGCTTGTATGTGCTTCTACTGTGACTTTAATAGTGTCTATTTTGTACTTTCTTAATGGGGAAGAATTAGAATGCTTGCCCTTTGTACTTTTCAAGTTTTCATTCTCCCTGCACCTCTTTCTTTCCTCTCCATTTGTATTGAAATTATAATGGTTTTGAAGGAAATTAATGCTATCTTGGGGGAGAAACTATCAGCAGAAGATGAAGAGGAGATTTTAGCTGAATTTGAGAACTTAGAAACTCAGGTATGATTAATTTTGTACATCACTACTGTCTCATGAGATTTATTGTATGTTTGTTATACTGCCTTCTACATTTTATGTATGTTTAAATCACTCAATTTCTTCATGCTATGAAACCATTTAGCTCCAATTCAGGCTTGATTTGAGGTTTTGTTAAGTTTAGGACATGTTTGGTAGGAGTTAGAAGCGGAGAAAATTTACCCTTGTAATTTTTCATCCCCTTTACTAATGTTTGGTACTAGTTTCGAGGAAGGAGAAATTTTTAAATAGTTTAAAATTTAACCCTAAATAAAGAGTAGGTGTTAAAACTTTTGGGTTTTGTGACTTCCTCATATTTTTTGAATGTAACAATTTTCTATCCATTTTTTCATTTCCTTTCATTCTAGACCATGGATATATGTTTTTTTTATATATAATTATATTTAATTTAAAAATTGATTTATATTTGTTTGGATCCCACTATTATTCATAATTTTTCAATCTCCCACCAATTGTCTTTAATACTTTACCCCTTAACGTTTTTCACACCTTTAAAATTTCACCCTTAAATCTTACCCCCTTAACATTTTCCTTCAAAATTCTTCACCGTATACCAAACACAACATTAATGGTAAATTCTTATAATATACTTAGTTGAGTGGCCAGTTCTTGTTGTTTTGCTAGGTCATGATATGGTGTACTATGATATCCTCTAGTTGCTTCAGAAAAGAAATATTGGGAATAATGAGATGTGATAGATTTAGATGAGTACCTTCGTCCCGTGCATGGTTTTGCTATGGCTAAGCTGTTGGGTATATGGTAACTGGTGGTGCATGGTTTTGCTAGGACCTTACGTTGGGTATATGGTGACTGTTGGACAATCCCACAAAAACATTTTATACTGGGAATAATTTGAGATTTATTAAATATATAGGTTGTGCTCCTATCATCAAATAAATTATTTTTCCTTAAGTCTTTTTTGTTTACCTATCTAACCATTCCAAGATGTAAATGAGCTTTTCTTCAGTAGTTTTTCCTGCCTTTCTCCATGACCACAGCTCAGCCCTCCCCTTAAGTAATCTAAACTCATAGTGCACCCGGAGCTATGGGTGCACATTTCACACGTTGATTCGAATGTTTGTTGCTTGAGGGGAAGGTTTATAGTTGAACAATTAAAATGGAATCAGAATTTTCCTTCTTGTCATTTTTTTATTTTAATTTTATGGTTGTATGTGCACTGGTAGATTTTATTGCAACTTTCTGTCAACAGACTACATGCTCGTACTTGGTCTTGACTCTTGTCAACCTTGAGAATTGTCTGTATTTCCCTTTTATTTTTCTTATTTGAAAAATAAACTTTTGTTTATTTAGATGGCTGTTCAAGAGTTGCCAGAAGTGCCCACTAAAGTGCTGTCTGAGGAACAGGAGCAAAAGTTGGACCTTCCTGATGTACCAACCAAACCACCTGTTCTTGTGGATGATGCTGCAACTGCTTCAGCTGAGGTCTCCACCAGGAGAAAAGGTTATTGTCTCCCTGTCCCCCCCTTAGGTATAAGTGCGCGTGCGCTAGCAATTCAATAACCTGACAATTTTCATCATCTCTCTGCAGTTTTGGAAGAACCATTGCCAGCATGATGAGGGAAAACATTTTTAGCAATGCTGCAGTCCTGCGGAGCTGCTGGCCATCCCAGAATCCAAGCATGCACTTCACAAATTCTTTTCATCTTGATATAAACTTTGCAATGGCACGCAAGTTGGTTTGTTTTTGCAATTGCAATCGTGCACATTAGATTTATTCATAGCTGTAAATTTACCATGTGGCTTATACATTTGGTATTCGGATAAATTAAGTCTCCTACATAATGAAAATTCCTCTCCTTCATGTTCTCATCTGCTGTAAATTGCTTTCAGCCCCATAATATGCTTATTTATGGACTGTCCATGAAATGGCATAAACAACTAGAAAAGGGATTTTTAATGAAAAGGGATTTATTTTTTTTGGTTAGTTTTTCAACAACTAGAGGCTCGATTCTTGAAGCATAAATATGGAGTGGAGAGGATACGAACGAAGCAATTTAAACCTTTTCTCATAACTTTTCAGGACCTGGGTTTTGGCTCCTTCACAATTAGAACCAGCGCCACCTTCTTTTTACCAACAAAAATAAAATAAAATGGAATAGCATTTCTTTCTTCCCTTTTGTTTCCGTGTAAAAATGATGTGAAAAATGAAACAGCGACTGCATAAAGATACATAAACAAGATGTCAAACTGAAAAATAGATTACTATACTTCTAATTGGAAAGTACAACTAATTAAATCATATATTTTGAGCTTCCAATAATTTTGAAAGATTAATTTAGTACAATCACACCAAAAACGTTTTACTAAGATAATTGGTAAGTGAAAACCTTGCTACAATTACTGTGTCCTAGCAAACATTGCACGTATGACATAGCTTCCAACTGTATATACCAAGAAGAAATGGGGTATGTACTGTCCACAGTATCCAAATCCATTCGATACAGTAACCAAAAATTGAAAGAAAAACCTCCTTAAGTTTCATTAACTTCATTTGCTACGCATCCTAAACCACTTTACTCTCTGTAATATCAAGAACAAAATTAGATTTGATCGGTTTCTACTTGGACAATCCAGCATACATGGCCTCAACTAGTTTCTGGTTCTTCCTCGTCTGCAGCTTCATTTTCATCATTGTTCTCTTCCCCTTCTCCATTTTCTTCTTCATTCTCATCAGTCCCACCTTCGGCATTTGGTTGGCCTGGAGGAGGTGGCAGCACCTCTTCAACCAATTCAACAAGTTCTTCAATGATTGGCATGTCAAAACGTGAATCCATTTCCTCTATGATCTGCCAAGTATAAGATAAGTAAATAATTAATGAACCTGCAAAGGAAACCCCTGACCTCCACAAGAAGAAAAAGAAAGAGCAGAAGAAGAGAAGAGAGAAGGAATATTGTCCGCGCGAGCAAGCAAAACTGTCTTCCTAGTGAACTTTGGTGGAATACACATCATTGACCATGATACCACATTTCCTTAAACCAGATGCAAGCAAAGAAAGGGGAGAGAGATTGGCCATTGTCAGGAAAGCAAACAACTGTTTTTTTTTTTTTTTCAGATTATGATCTTTCAGTGATTAGGCAGTATCAACATAGCATAATTCCTTCACCCAGGCTATGATCATTAAGAGGTTGAATATTTATTTAACAACACTGTCATATTTGCTGCATCATCCACAAGGACCATTTTAAGGACTATCAAAACCACAAAACCAAGAACATCATGTAGTCACTATTTGCCCATGATATTCTACAGCTCAAGTCTGGAAGCTACCAACTAGATACAAACACAAAAATAAGAATTTTTAAGCTGTGAAAAATTTGCAAAGAGGCTGAAAGCCAAGTTCAATTTTTACTCTAGAGAAAGTAATCACATTTCTGAGTAAGAGTTCTACACTCTTCAAACTGATCTACCATTCCATTTTCCTCTCCCATTTATAACTCAAATACTCTTCAGCTCCGCTCAGATATACATCACAATTTCATCAACAGAACTTGCAGTTAAATATAAGAAAACCATATCCAGCACTTCTTCTTGGTAAATAAATCTGCCGAATTCAATACTATCCTGCCTTGTCAGTAATTTCCCACTTTAAACCTGCTATCTAAGTGTGATGGAAATTGCACAACCACCAATTCCTAGACTTGAAAATTTTTCCAACTTTAAGAGAGCAAAGCAATCACCAAGGCATAGCAGATGGCACAAGACTCTACTATCTACATATTCAAACATTCAAACCTCCCTCAGGCCAACACATACAACCTTACAGCTCTATAAGCCACTCTAATAGCATAAAGCAAATTAGCAAGCAGCTTGAGAAAATGGCACCAGAATCTTAGTTTACAAGACCTGATACCTAATTTGTATGTTAGCAAAGGAGAGCAAAGAGCATACAAGAATAACAAATTTATTACCGTGTAAATCTCGACAGTTTGAGAAGGCCTAATATTGATAATATTAAGAAGCTCAGCTTTGGCAAGGTCGTACTTCTTACATCTCTCTAAGAATTCATTGATTTTCTCTCTTGTTAGATTGCACGCAGGAGTTTCAACCAAATAATCGTAAACCTACAAACAAAACAACGTAAAAAAATCAAACAAACACAATTCAAATTAGTTACGGTTAGCAATACAGATCCATCTGTTCCATTCCTTGCAATCATATTCCAAACAAAATTAAATAAGGAAAAACAACCTTGTATTCTGATGCCGCTACAGGAGCAAGAACCCGCGAAACATCCCTCGAGGCACCTCTCGATCTTAGAAAATCAAGCACTTCAAAATTGGTTAGGGCACCTGCATTTGGGTTTTTTCTGCATGTTTTTTGCTTCAATTCTTTATTATTAACTCCACCAGAGTAAAAAAGAAAGAAAAAAAGAATTATTCAAGAATTAGAAACGTACATCTTCATTGAAAATGGAGGGGTGTTGAGTGGAGAGATGGAGTCGCGGGATCTGTAGCAGATGACCAATGGAGATGTCTGTCAGTCACTAGAGTCGCTGATTGATTCTGTTCGAACCCTAAGGCAAGAGAGAGTGTCTGAGAATAAGACACGGCATTTCTTAACACCCAACAAGTAGAGTTGTGCCAACAATAGATTATTTTTGCGGTTGAAAAATATTTTTTTAAAAAAATTAAAATATATATCATAAATTCATTTAAATACCCAACCCATGCAAATATATATCATAAATTCATTCCAACAACAAAATAAGTGTCTTAAAATATATCTCAATTTCTTTAGCTGTGGTTCAAGAATGTAAGAGATCATTCCAACAACAAAATAAGTGTCTTAATATCATAATATTAATCCAACTGAGAAGAAAATAATATATTTAAAGGAAAATAATTTTTTGTGTTGCTAGAGGTGGGAATTCTTATAAAAAAAAAAATTTAAAGTAGAATCTAGATAAAATAAAGTATACACTGTAGAGTAAACTTGTTTATAGTAAAGTAATTTATTAAATTATATTAAATTAATTTTTTTGTTATGATTAGTAATCGAAAATATCAAGTGAATCATATAACAAATTCCAATGGTATAATAAAAAAAATAGGTATGTGAAAAAATAAAGGATGGTTTCTAGAAAATTACTGTAAAAACTATTAAATGAATGATAATTAGAGCAATTATTTTTTAAAATATTTTTTATTTAAAAATATATTAAAATAATATTTTTTTATTTTTAGTATTAATCCATTAAAATAATTTAAAAATATAAAAAAATATAATTTCATAAAAAATATATTGGCATCGAATTCCCAAATCTCTGCAGCTTCTTCATCTCTCCTAACTTTCTGTTCTCGAGATTGTAAACATTCCATCTCTTTCGAGGAAGAATGTTAAGACCTCCAATAATCAATTAAAAAACATAACTTACAATTCACCTGCAGAATTCAATTAATTCGAGATTACACAATCCATAATTACCGAGAAAGAAGCAACTTCCAAACTCTAGAGCATTGGAGTTCAAATACTCTTATTCTTTTTACTTATCAAATCTTGATTGTATGGGGTTTAGCAAAGGAGATTGTAGCATCTGGGCAATATCATAGAAAACAAAGATTGAATGAATTTCACCACCTATTAAGCTAGCTTATCATCACATAGTGTTCACTTAGATCGCTGCCGATCACTTGTTCATAATGCCGATCGATCTGCCGGTAACAAATTTTTTGCATACATTTTTCTTGGGGTAAGAACCTGTGACTGCAATATATTAGTGCAATTGCCACTTGGGACACACCAATAGTATGTACTTGGGAAACTCAGCCCAAAACTAAAACAAATGGTTTTCTGAACAGGCTGAAACAAGAATAAAAAATCATTGATCAAATGTTTTCTTGTTAATTTATTAGTAATTCTTCCATTGAGATGCAAACAATGCAGGAGAGCACTAGTTTTAACAATGGAGGCGTAATGTGGTGATATGTATAGCAAGAATAGAGACATTTCTCGAGCTTGAGTGTGTCCTTGCCATCTAAAGCGAAAACAAGAAATAAACAGAAATTCAGAGAGGGAGACAAGAGAGCTAACACCAACAGCTGCCTGTCCATTGCCAGTACAAACATCCCGATCGGGAGCTGAGAGCAGCAAGCATAGCCTACCAGGCATTCGTCAGGATAATCTGGCATAGCTAGAATCCAGGTATATTGCTTCCTGCTTGTGAAACAAACAAACTGGATTCATTTTAGCCCAGAAGAACCCAAATTGATTATTTTATGAGTAAAGGAGTTGAACAATTCAACACAATATTTATACATCCAAGTACCACACTGAAATTGGCAACGTACTGATACATCAATATTACTGATTCATTCTTGAATGTTAAACATGCATTGTAGTATAATGGATCCTGCTCAGACCTCTAAAGAAAGAAGCACTATTGTATTAAGCACTTTCATTCAGAGCTTAACTTTCCCTGCAAGCATATATGTCTTATCGATAATAGTTCTAGCCAATTCAGGCCCGCCCCATGCACTTTCAAATTCTCTAACAACCTCTTCTGACAGTAAATCCACACCTTGTCGCATGGCTGTATTAAATAATGAAAGTGACTTTAAAAGCTTCAAATGTCCCACAAAAGACATCTCCTTTTGCATCTCCAATTCCAGTGGCTGCCCCTCACTCCCAACACCTACACTTTCAAAAGGAAATGGAAGTGTCTTGTAACACTCTACTGCATACTTGATGTTTGGGTTTCGAAAAGGAAAGGTCCTCTCAAAGTGGGTCCTTCAGAGAAGATCAATTTCCGGGCTAATTAAGCTGGATTCCTGAGTAGCACCAAACCGTAAGTATGCCTCCAGGATTTCTCAGAACACGCCTGGCGATTGGATAGAACTTTTCCAGATCAAACCAATGCACAGCTGAAGCCACAGTAATGAGATCAACTGAATTTTCACCCCCAAGTAATGTCACTAGTTCATCATCGGACATTGTTAATGGGGTATGCAAGTAATGAGTTTGGGGGTGTGGTATGGCATGCTTTAGTTGTTCTTCACTTATGTCAGTTGCTATCACTTGCTTGTAGTGCTCCGACACCTGAAAATGACAACCATCTTTCCGAACTAGTCAAAATACAAACACGACAAAGTAAGGTCAAACAAAAGTTCTGATTCACGCCAAATCATCATACTAATTAGACCTGTCAAGAATAGAGAATTTGAGCGCCTTAGGACATATCTAATGTCTGGTCTTGTTTCAATTTTAAGGAGTATATGTCACTTGGGTTTTTTGGATAACTGCTGACTCATTAAGTCTGATCAAATGTTAGTATAAGACACTTAAAAGAGAGAGCTAAGATTGTTCACGTCTCAATTTCTTTAGCTGTGGTTTAAGAATGTAAGACACAGAGAGAACTAACACCAATAGCCGCTTGACCATTGCCAGTACCAACATCCCAAGCTAAACAGTGGTGAGGGGTGAGAGCAGCCAACATTGAGAACCATTCGCTTGGATATGTTGGCCTTGCATCCACATATATAGACGCCTGCTTGTCAAACAAACCTGCCATGTAAAATCTTGTGAATTCTGATAGTATATGTGCGTGTGAAAGTTTTGATGACCCGACGACGGACTACTGTATAATAAATTATGGCAGTCTGAGTTTACAAGGAGGTCAAATAAACCTATCCAGGAGAGTGGCCTGCAATTTGGAGGATTAGTATGTCTACTTCTTTTTTTACCCTAAAACAAATGGTATTCGCTAATAGCTTTGCTTCAAGTATTAAGCAGGATTAATCATATTTCAGGGAAAATAAATGGTGACAGAAAAGTGAACCTCTAACCAGCCGAAAAGAAAAGAAAAGGAAAATAAGAAAGGTAAGTAACTGTGAGTTGAGGAAAGTGCAGGTTGACCCATACCAAGAATTGTCATCGGCTTATAAAGATCAAGTTCCAAAAAAAGGAAACAACTTGTGAGATGAGGAAAGTGCAAGGTTGTTCCCTACTAAGAATGGCATCAAGTTTCAAACAAAGGAAAGAACTTGTGAGATGAGGAAAGTGCAAGGCTGGTCCCTACGAAGAATTGCCGATGGTAGATATCAAGTTCCAAACAAAGAAAAGAACTTGTGAGATGAGGAAAGTGCAAGGTTGGTCCCTACGAAGAATTGTAAATATCAAGTTTCAAACAAAGAAAAGAACCTGTGAGATGAGGAAAGTGCAGGATGATCTCTACCAAGAATGGTCGCGATTTGCTAAATATCAAGATTCTTTCCAAAGACTTCGCTACTGTTGGTGCATTAAGACGAGATCCAAGTCGTCAACTTCATAAAGGAAAAACTTCTCTGACGGGAAACTTCGGCCTCGTTTCCTCTAATTTCTCAGCAACTCGCCTATCAGACACCTAATTAGTCCTCATTTTGCTTTCTATAGAAAAAGGTCGCAGACTTAGTAAGGGGTGTGATTTGAGCTCAAAACAAGGTATAACATTAAAATTTAAAAAAAAAAAGTTTATTTATTTTTAAATTAATATTTATTTATATTTTTAAATTATTTTAATACACTTTATATTAATATCTAAACGATTTTTCAAAATAAAAAATAATATTATTTTAATATATTTTCAAATAAAAAATACTTTAAATTCCTCCAGCCCATCCCATGAACTCTCAAGTTCCCTGACAATCTCTTCTCGGTAATAAACTGACGTGGATTCAGAATTCCCATAAATGACAGACTTGGTACCCAATACGCGTCCAGGCGACATACTTCTTACTCAATGTGCCTAGAGGCTAGCCCCATCCACGCAATTTCGTGCTCGCTTTTAGCATAGGTATGGTATATAATATTTTTTATAGGTATAATTTTAAAAATATATATTTAATTAACACTATAATTAAAATTAAAATTAAAAAAATTATTTAATATATTTAATTAAGGATACTTTTAAAAGTAAAGATATAAAATAATATATATTATTATTAATAATTTTCAATTTTAATATTATAGAATTAACTATTGTTATTATATTATAAAATAAATAATATTTTTTATAAATTATTTTTTATTTTTTCATTAAATTATTTATAATTCTATTACATATAAAATTTATTAAATAAAAATTATAGTTTTCATAATTTTTTAAGCATGCAACAACATCAAATAAAATATTATCATATCAAAAATAAAATTATAATTATAATTAAATTCTGTTAATATCATCACACAATTTTTTTTTTAATATAATCTTCTTTTAATATGATTATATAATATCATTAAATAATTAAATAATTGTAAATATTAATTTTTAAATAAAACATAATATTTAAAAAAAATAAATTTTTTTATTTTACTTGATCACATTTACACCGGCATCTAAGTTGGGTCAGAAGCTAATCTGATCATAAACAGTGAAGCATGTAGAAGATAAAGGAGAAGAGTAGTGTTTGAATGAGGGAAAGGCAGAGGCCGGTGGTGAGCTGAGGAAACTGCTCTCCATTGTGCTTTGTTTCTGATCTTCTTCTTCGAATGGTGAAGAATGCAAAAAACGAAGTAAAAGGGAAAGAAAAGGAGGAAGAGAAAACAGTGACTGACAGTGAAAGCAGCTAAAGCTGATGATAAGCTGCTCTTCACTGTTCACGTAAATAATAAAGAATGCAGAAAACAGAAGATGACGGGGAAGGGACAAAAAAAAAAAGGAAAAAAGAAGTAACTAGCAGTGAGCTGAGGGAGCTGCTCTCTACTGTGCTCTGCAACGCTCTGTTTTTGTTCTTCTTGTTCAACACCTCTATTAGTCTATTACTGTGTTTATAAACATACACAATTGCAATAAACAAAAATAGCATGCAAAACGTACCATTACGAAAAGTATGCAGAAATAGCTTCAACAAAACTGAGTTTTGAACGCATTTAATGATAGAATCCATGCCTGAAAATTGTGTTCTATTTTGTAACCAATGAGAAGAAATCGTGATTAATTAAAAACATTACCGCAAACGCTGAGCCAAACAGGCTCACTCAATAACCATACCAACATTAACTCTCTCCTGTAGTTTTACAGAAATAATGGATACATCAACATCCTGCTAATAAATGGTGCTCGCATCAAATGCTATTCACATCCCAATGACTACATAGAGACAACTGAAAAATGCCGCTAACATCAAAAGCAAGCAACAAGCTTTCTGGGGTCTAAAGACAATACCCTCATCTTTGTTTACAGAAAACGCGATTTTTAAACAAGCAACAGGAATAGTCCAACTCTCATGGATGATAGAACATTAACAAATAGGGTTCGAAACCAAAACAAGATACCTCACCAGTTGCCACAGGGTTTCACCAAACCCACATAAAACTGAGTCAAATCAACCATTAACAACCCCCAAGCTTTCTTTTCAGAAGCAATACGGCAGTTTAGCCCAACATCCATACAAAATTAAGCTACTGGTTCTATCAAACAAAATTTATAGATTATCCGCCAACAGAATCTCAGTTGCTCAACTATTTTCATGCAGTGTTATTTCATAACAAGACATATTTCTATTTGTCAAATAGAGCATCAAAACAACAACCCGGAGCAAATCTATCACAGATACACTATAATAACACAGCAATTCACCAATCAAAAAAAGAAACTAAAATTAAAATTTTTCAATTCCTTCTTAAGCACATACAACAATACCCTTAAAAGGAGAATTTCTTTGTCTAAACTTATAATAACAAAAATTAAAAATTAAAAACGAAATCGATCAATCACCCCCGTTGTTTTGAGAAGAAGAACAATCACCGTCCGATTTATGATCATGATTGCAATCATCATCGCTATCATCCTCATCGAAGGGCTTCTCCTTGTGGAAAATACAACATATTTTAGAACTTTTCTTCTGCATACACTCGTTATCCACAGTGCCTTCTTTCCACGAAACCTTCTTTTTCGGCCTATTTAAGCGCAAAGTTAGGGTATGTTGCTGTTGCCGGGTGAGATTTTCCAGGACGGTGGTGGTTGTGGAGGAAGAAGGTGGTGGTCTCATTACGGTGGTGGTTGTCGCGGTGGTGCTCATGACGGAGTTATTGGCGGTTTGTGTCTTGCTAGGTATTGCAGAGAAGGAGAGAACGAGAACCACAAAATACAATTGGCTTGTTTTCGTTTTTTCTTTCGTGAACCAACTAGAAGAATCCAAATATTCTTTTCAATTGGAAATTTCTTTTTGTGAGATAACTTCAAATTAGTCCTTTAACTTATTGTACGTTCTATTTGAGTACTCCTACTTTAATGGTTAATGATATTATATCAATTGCATGCCCCTTTTAGTACTTTTTTTTTAATTACTCTCTCTTTCCCGGGTAAAACGGTGCTCTAATCAGCTTATTTGTTAATCAAAATCAAATCATATAATTTTCTTCGAAGAAATTTTAAGAATAGTCTTTGTATCCACCTAATGCGGTAATGTAAATTGCTATTTGATATTATTCATCGCGGATCAGTTTTTTTTTAATAAAAAATAAATAAATAAAACTTTTTAAACTACGATAAATTTATCTTTTCAAGTGATAAAAACAATAAAAAAAATTTAAATAAAACTTTCTCATGAAAATTATTTTTTTAATAATTTTAATTGGTGTCAATCAAGTTTTTTTTTTATCACCATAATCCCATGATTCTTTATTCTCTCTCGATCAAAAACTAAAAAAAATAAAGTTATATATCAAAATTAAAATTTTGAAAACCAAAAAAATCAAAAAGAAAGAAATTAAAAGGTATAAAGACCAAAATCAACTTTCAATGCAAACTTTGAAGGTGCCACTAAGTTTTGTTGTTTTTTCTATTTCAATTCCCTATCTTTCAATTATATAATTACTCAACAAATTAGAATCAATTAACCTTCAATTTAGCCATAAAAAGACTTAATTAAAAAGAAAAAAATATGAATAAAGTGAAATGTAAATATGTGAACGGTGCATGAGAGTTGATCTAGGTTGATTTCAATTTATTTATTTTTTAAAATATTAAAATAATATTGTTTTGATAAATTATTTTTCTATGAAAAAAACAAGTTAAGAATTAAGTTTTATCTGAAGCTATTTAAATCATGAGTTAACTTGAATTTGATCGGAACAAACTGTGTCTATGCCTTAACTAGTTTTTTTTTTTAACTTTCAAACCAATTTACATCTCAAGTTTAAAGTTAGCCCAGTAAACAGATTCAGATTTTATAATTAAGTCCATGACCATTTGGAATATGCAAATAGCCCAACCCCGTTACATGGTTTGTACTTGAACATACTTTAACCATTTACTAGAAGTAAATAATACTAAACGGTAAATCTGGATCAATTTTATTGACATAACGGGAAACAAAAGTAAAATTTCTGAATCAAATGACAAATACCTGTTCATATTCCACAATAGGAAACCATGCACTAGAATCAGCAACCTTACTCCAAAATCCTAAAGTTAAACGTGTAATAAACCATGCATGTTGAAAGCTGAGACTCGTTCTTTCGAGGATTACAATGGAAAGTCCAAGTTTACTGGGATTTGAACCCAAAAGTTTTGTCCATGTCAAATAGACTTTGGAACCGATGGCACTGGCCAAATCACAAGGATAGCTGCAACTTGAACATCTAGTATCTGATATTCAAAACTATATTGCAAGACATTTATGCAAGAACAACACAATAATAGGGCCTTGGAATCAGAAAGTATGGATGAGATGGAAACAAGCACAACGCACTCACAAACAAATAGATAAACCAGAAAATATAAGATATGGAGCATTTCCATTTTTAATTATACAATCCAAATGCATTTGCCAAGCCAGTTTATTCAATCTCTCATCCTTCTACCAATCATTAATTAACACACCAAATTATTTACTTACAATTTTAGCGGCTTATACCTTATGTTTATTGCCATAAAAATAATATAATTCTACTCAATGCTTGTCTCAAGATAGGATTCATTAGAGCCACCTTAACCTTTATAATCCAAGAGAAGGGTTATGGAGGAACGAGGCAACATTGACTATCACTTTGACCATCAATGAGCAACAGCAAGGCACCAGCGAAAATGTGTTGAACCATCAACTCAGCAACCGAGGACACCTCAGCTTTTATGGATTTGTAATAACCCCTTGGTTCTTGGACTCCGCGTTCAGTGCCTATAAGTTTCTTAGCCTGTCAACGAGAAACAAGGGAACACAGCTGAGAAGCCTTGACTAAATGAACTATTATTTAAAAGCACATCATTCTCCAACTTTACCACAACCAGCATTCTAGATTCTTTTCCCGTAACCAATGTTATGAAATCAACCCAGTGTGCAGGGAAAGTAAAGTACAAGAGTTTAACCACTTAAACTCAACGCGAACTCATTTCTTATCCCTTGCCTTGAAGGTAAGGCCTGCTGAGAGTTTTCTACAATCATTTCTTATCCCTTGCCTTACATTGAAAGATTGATGCAGCATATGCAAAGAAACAAAAGAAACAGAATAATATTAAATATGTGCTTCCTTCTGAACTTAAAGATGTACAGTCCAAGCTTGAGCATAAAAGAAAATGACAATGATCCAGACTCAAACTGAATGATGACTCGCGCCAGTTACAACAGAGGAGTGATTGGGCACCATTCTAAATTACGAAATAAATCAATGGTGGAAAGTGGAAACTGAGCATAGTATGTCAAAGACTGTATGTTTCATCTTGTCTGGTCTTCAAAAGCACAATGATACAACGGCAGTAAAAAATAAACAAGGAAAGACGTAAAATCTCCTTTCACCCAGTAGGCTACCTACATGGCCATGCATAATTGCCCTACAGTTTTAAAATTCAGCTAAATTATAAAAAGAAATATCCTTTAAAACCCAAACTAAGGCCCCATAGAGAAGGCTTGGCTCAATTTTTTTCAGACTTACCCTAAGATAACTGGCCTCATGATTATTTTGGAAATCCATAAAAAGTTGAATGATTACAATAGTGCTGAGCTGAGCAATTAATAGTACTGAACGATTAATAGCGCTGAGCAATTGGTCAAAACACCAGGAGAGCTTCATCAACACATCATATCCATACAAGAATCATGGAAGTGAAGACGGACAATAAGATGCAAGATAATGCTAGAAACCATGCCTCGTTGACAAAGTTAGAAACATACACAATGCTCTAATCTAAATCATAAAAGCTGATTTTGGTTAATCAGCCATCAAACAGTAAGTTTCTCATCAATCCAGAAATTAGAAGTTCAGAACATGGTTTCCATTACCATGTTACAACTCAAAGCTAATTCTTCTAGCCACCTCAGTTGTCCATGCCCTTTCACTTTTTTTTGTGACTTTAATATAGTATCCTTCGGCATTTTTACAGATAAACACAAGACATAAGGAGAAGGAGAAATTAAAAATAAAAGGGTGGATTGCTCATAAACAACTGGAACAGTACAAAATAATGACATGATGGAACCAACCAGTTTAGATAATGTAAATCACCAAGAAAAAACAATTTGATATTTATTTACCAAAAAAAAAAATGAAAATAAGCATTGAATAGAGAAGGCCAACCTTGGTGAAGGCAAACAAGCTGAGGCAGTTGAGAAGCCAGTAAAGACATTTGAATAGGACTTGGTCAAGTATGAGAAGTTGCTAATGGGAGGTAAAGCAGGCACCCGTTCACCTTTCTTCAAAAGCTCTTGTAAGTTCAGTCTCTGCATGGTCAAGACAGTTCTCGAATCCTTCCAAACAAAGACAAGGAGACCATTTTCAATTACAAAGAGGGAACCAGGCTTTGAGCCTGGATATCTGAAACCATACCCATTTGCTATGCCCTCCCCTGCAAATGCATGCTTAACGATCAAAGGGAAGGAAATTGCATCAACATCCCAAGGAAATGGATCGTATAAAGGCTCATCAATATTAACTATGAACATTGCTGAGCCATTTGGATGCAGAACATAATGGGTGCCTTCTAATATCTTAGTAGCAATGAGGTTTCTTTGTCCTTCAGACTCCTCATAAGAGACCAAAAGAAAGAACAGAGCCTTTCCAGGCTTCTCTTCAGTGGGCTTCCCGGGAGGCCAACCAAAAGTCCCTCCCCATAAACCAGCATATTCTTCATCAGCTCTTGGACCTCGCATGGGTAACTTGTATAGGGCAAACCGGCTGTCATGCATATTCGGCCATGCGCGATAAGAAGATAACCTCACCACAGTGGCGTGTAATGTCAGCCCTATTGTATCACCTGACCTTAAAAAATCATGCAGCGGTGCATGTTTTCTCTCACTCCTTGAACAACCATGCTTGGAATGTGTGTGGCTACCATTTATGGAGGGCGGCTTCCCCAAAATCTGTCTGATGCTTGCTCTGAAATACCCACCAAGGGTTCTCTTCGTGTTGGACTGCATCTGATTATCATCCTCGTTCAGAGACCCACTTGATTGATCAAGAAACTTCCTAACCTCACTCAATTGCAGTTGCATAGGATCACAAGGCACTTCAGGAGCTTCCTTCCAATTGAAGCCTTGACCAAGATTATAAATTTTCAAAAGAACTGATCTCCGTTCAAACAAGAGTGCCAAATCTTTCTGAAAATTCTCTTCATCATTTCTCAACCGAGGAAATAGCAGACTATTTTCCAAATCGGATACCTTTTGACCAACTTGGGTGGTGACAACCTCAATCAACTTTCTTCTGTCACTGAAAGCCAGGCGGCTAAAAGGCACCTGAGCCTCACATTG